CCGTCCACCCCGCTTGGGTCGTGCTCTGGCGTAACCCACGGTCCTGAGAAGGTGTAGTTGGCCCGGATGCGCCATCCGGAGCAGGCGAGGCGGATTGCAGACCAGAAGCCGCCGAAGTCTGGTGAGTCCTTCTTGAGCCCGCCGAGGTATTCCTGGAACTTCTCGACGGTCATGTCTACCTGGGACTCGCCGTCACCGCAGGCAATGGCGTGCTGCGCCTCCTTGACCCAGGGATATGCGTATGCGCTGGGCTGGCGCGAGGGGCAGCTGTCGGTCGGTTTTGGGATCTTGAGGTGTTGGACAAGCCGGGTGAAGTTCCCAGCCAGGGCATCGGCCAGGGTCGACGCAAGATCCGGGAAATCCTCCATGGGGTTGTAAAGCGGGACGAATATTCTGTAAATGATGTCCTGCTTGGTGATGGTGGTAACGGTGTCGGGGGAGATGTAAACCTCTGGGGTTTCGTCCAATCGATCGATGAGGTTTCGGACCTTTCTTTCAATGTCTGCTGGGGTTTTGTCTGTTGAGTCGTAAAGCGCACAGCGAGTACCGGCTTCGAAGCATGTATCCCAGAGATAGTCGAGGGCCTTTTGGGTGTCTTTCAGGTTCAGGATCCAGGTCTTGATGTGTCAATTAGTTTATTGTGTTGTTATTTCGCACAGAATAAGACACACTTACGGCATTGTAATAATCAATAGGGTCCTCGACCGCTTCAAGGATCATGCGTCCAACACGACCGGGAAACATGGAAGCAAATGTGTTTCCAAGCACGGTCCCATATGAGAATCCCCAGTACTGGATTCTAGGTGTCGCTGTCTGCTCTGCGTTCTTGCGAGAGCCCAACGGTATCTGGACGTCTTCGAAAGTCTCGTCTCGTGTGGCTGTCTCATTGCGCATCTCGGCCAGTACATCGACCATCTGAACCATATCTCTCGCAACGCTGCTTGTAGACACGAATGCACGGATATTCTCCGTGGCATCTGTTGCCTCACAAAGCTTGCCAACCATCGCTGCCTGTGCAAACTTCCTCTTGAGTATTTCCGGCACTGCATCGGGCTTGCCCATTGAGCGATCCTCGAGGAGATACCCATTCCGTGTATACTCGTCCCGAAAGCAATCCGCATTCGGGGTGCTCAAACCGACGCCCCGTGGGTCAAACGACAGGATCTCATATTTCTTGTTACCGTCCAGGATCTTCTGCGTCCGCTCGCCCAGATTCAGCACCAAGTTGATCCCCGAGGCGCTCGGCCCGCCTGGATTCGTGAAGACGGTCCCGCCAAACGAGGGATCAGTCTCGTCCACCACGGCAGGGCGCGCAATGACTGCCAATGTGACGCGGGCAGGGTTCGACGGGTTGAGCCAGTCCAGAGGAACCAGCAGTTTAGCGCACTTGTGTCCATCGTAGCAGGGCTTATATTTTAAAGTCGCGGATGGCTCAAGCACCGACCAGTCAAAGTCAGATACGTCGTGTTTTTTGGGCTCAACAGCGTGGACGAGCCCCGTGGAGAGCGACCATGTCGCAATAGTCTGGAATAACTTCATTATGCGGTCAAAGGGGGTCTGAACGCGTGGTGTTTCTCTTTATCGTATCCAGACACGGTAATAGAACGTATCTAAGGCAGCCACGCACGCAGGATTATCACATGAACGATATAGAATGAGCGAGGGGGGATGAGAGACGTTCAAGGGCATGATGACGGAATGGTGCCTGAGTGAAACACAAAAACGGGTAACACACCCGAGCGATTGACTACCCTATACCCGCCATGTTGCAGATCTGAGTCGTTCAGATGGGTTCTAAACCGCGTTTCTCTCTCACAAAGTTGTTCAATTTTAATGGCATGTGAAGTGCTAGTTATAGGTCGGTATGTAAAGGAGCCATGTAGACTTGAGCACGACTTTGCATAATCATCGACAAAATACTTTCGTTTTGTGTGTCGTGAAGTCTTTCATGGAGCTGTCACCGTCGGTCAAGCCGTCGAACATTTACTATTCAACTCAATTTCCAAAACCCCTCCTCAGTCCTAAATCTTTATATCCTGAGAGACTTATCAATGAACTTTCAGATTAATCCTACGACACAAGTAGCCTATTTAGGTGAGCTTCTCCATCAGTGCGCACATGTTAATGATGGCACTCAAAATACGAAGGAAAACGAAAGTAACACTTCACTTTGAGCTGCACTGTCTCGTGATACATACAATAATCGGTTAGTCATGTATTGACCCTCTACCAACTCGTATACACCGGAAACAGCGAGGGGGCAGAATACCCAGGATGTGCACTAGATCCCTCTACGCCCATGAACTCTGCAATAGGTATCAAGATTCTCTTTATTTGCCTTTGCTACTTTCCCAATCCGATCCTCATTGCATAGCTTGAAACAAATAGGCGCTGATTGACGGTATGCGCTTAATCTGGAGCATAATGTATGCGTTATAACTGTACATAAGCGCTGGATTTCGGCAATAGGCTATTTTGGATGGAACTTTGGGAATATTTTGAAGTAATGAGTACCAGATAATGAGCTCATTGGGATGTATGTGTTGTGTATAGTATAGAAACCTCGTATCCTTCAAGTCGCGGCGCGAATATGTCTGTTCTTGGCTACGCCGGGTTTCATCCATCGAGGCGATGCAGCCAGCGCTGGCAATAATTGACCTCATCAGTATCAGTATTAGCAAATGGCCTTCCAGCGAGACGCCAAGGGCCTTCCGGTTCTGACAGCATAGCCACCGAATGGGGTTTCAATTTCATTGTGCCAAGGGTGTGTCACTGCTTACAATCTCCGCTATTTGCTCACGATCCGTCTTGATTGGCCGTTGCGGAGTCGAGCCAATGGAGATCTCCTTGGCTGAATCCTTCGGCACGGGGTTTCAGTGGCCTTTGCGCTGTTGATTGATTTCCCTGTGCTGGGCTTCAAGTCACTTGATTTTTTTCTCGTCATTCACGCAATAATCTTTAATACCTCGTATTCCTTTCTCGCTCCGTAGAGCTGCTTGTAGAGACACACTCGTTTGAAAGTCTGGCATTCTTGTATCTTCTTTCTCCACTCTCGTTCGAATTCAAATTTTACTTCTCATCGCAATCATGGGTAGAGGACTCGCTTTGGCAGTGTTGGCGTCGCTGGTGTGCAGCCCCCTGATGGTGGCTGCAGCCGATGACAGCCTCAAAGTGGACAGCCGTGACAACATCCTCAAGTCGGCCGGCACCGTTGCCAAGAGCCTGATGGACGAGTACAACAAGGGCGAGATTCCCGGTCTGCTGTCCGACGAGTACTACTTCTATGAGAGCGGCACTTTCATGAGCACTTTGGTTGACTACTGGCACCTCACTGGCGACTCCACCTACAACGATGCGGTCAAGAAGGGCCTCCTGTTCCAGGTCGGCTCCGAGGACAACTTCATGCCCGCCAACCAATCCAAGAACCTAGGCAATGACGACCAGTGCTTCTGGGCCCTGGCTGCCATGCAGGCTGTGGAGAGCAACTTCACCAGCCCTTCCTCGGATGAGCCTCAGTGGCTCACATTGGCCCAGACCGTGTTCAATAACCAAGCGCAGCGCCTCGAGGCTGCTTCTGACACGTGTGGCGGCGGTCTCCGATGGCAAATCTTCAGCTACAACGCCGGTTGGGACTACAAGAACAGTATGTATACTCTCCCACCCCATTGATGGTCAGTTTGAATGCTTACTCTTCTGCTTCAAAAGGCATCTCCAACGGCTGTTTCTTCGACCTTGGAGCTCGCCTTGCAAGACACACCGGCAACACCACCTATTCCAAGACTGTTGTTGCTGCGTATGACTGGCTCGAGAAGTCCGCCCTCGTCAATGGAACATCCGGAGTGGTCTACGACGGGTCGACCATTGCCCAGGGCAACTGCTCCAAGATCGACAAGACGGAATGGTCCTATGCTGCCACTATTTTGAACAACGGCGCTGCCTACATGTACAACCAGGTACGGGCCTCTTCCTTCTGATCGTATGATGTTGAAATATTAGCTGACATATCTTGCGTGATAGACTACCGGCGATGAGCAAAAGAAATGGCAAGACCGCGTTGATAAGTTCACCGACTCCATCCTCAGCAAGTTCTTCACCAGCGGCATCGCCTACGAGCCTGCTTGTGAGACTGCCGACACATGTGCCGTCGACCACGTCACCTTCAAGGGTATCACTATCCGCTGGCTCGCTGCCGTCAGCCAGCTCGCTCCCTTCACCGCGGACAAGATCCTGCCCGTCCTGAAGACGTCGGCCGAGGCCGCTGCAAAGTCATGCACCAGCTCCAGCTGCAGCTTCTCCTGGAACGACACAAACATCAAGGGGCCTAAGTCATCCGGTATCGGGGAGCGGCTGAATGCCTTGGCTGCCATCTCGAACCTCCTCATTGCAGATGCGGCTGGGCCGAGCAAGGGATCGGAGAATGCAACCGAGTCCACTGGATCTTCGCCATCGCAGACCGCCGGGTCATCGCAGGCCTCGTCGTCAACCGACAAAGGAGCCGCCGGCAAGGGAATGGGACTGTCTGTCGCTCTGTTGACCACCGGGCTTCTTGCCTCCGCTTGGATCAGTCTTGGCCTCTAAGGATGCTGTTACTGTGGGATGCTCAAAATACCTGGTATAAAGGTTATTCAATATCACTGTACCAACATTTGCATGCCGTTAGTATTACAAACTATTATAAATGACATGGGACCTTTCTGGATACGGTTCTAGAAATTCTTCATGTTTAGCTATCTCGGCAAATATGTACTGGACAAACTGGCTAAGGCCAGTTTGCGAGCCAGTGTATCCCAGGATGCGCACTATTAGCAATCACAAGCCGTTTATTCATTTTTTCACCAATCAGTAGCTAAGCCGAAAGAGAAAGTGTAAAGAAGTATAAAATGTTTTTGGTATTTCGTTTAAAAGATAGGCTAGTGGCTAGCGATGGTTGATGGGTTGTTCCTCTCAAACAGAGCCAGACTCAATCCATGATCCCTCTACCAGCTGCTTTCAGGAGCAACCTAGTAGAGACCAACAACGACATCACCCTTGACACGGGCAGTCAGGTGGACCTCGGCCTCGAGGTCGAGCTTGATGCCGAGCAGGAGAGCGGCATCCTTCAGGTTGCCGCTGTCGTCAGCAGCACCCTTGACGATCTGGCCTGTGATTGCGAGAGCGGTTAGCGATGGTTCTGCTTGCTAATTGCGGGGGAAGATGGGTTTTGTAGAGGGCTTGACATACCAGCAGGGGCAGAGAGGCCGGTGGCGGTGGGCAGGGGAACCTGGAACTGGGCACTGTGGAAGGTTGGTTAGCGTCTACATTCATTCTCTTGAAGCATCCAATCAATGGCAAGCTTCTGAGGAGCAAGATGTGTTCGCTTACGGGGCAGACATGTTGATGGTTGGTTTAAAAACGGGGGGTTTTTAAGTGGTGGATGAGAGTGGATTGTTGAAGTTGTAAGTGATGATGAGAAAACGAAACAGTTTGGTCGGGGAGAGGAGCTCCTTTTATCTTCTTTCGTGAAGAATTGAGGCAACATCTCCCTGCTCATTGTTGCAAATACCACATTATGCAAAATGCTACGTTTTCCTTTTTTCCCTCGGTTTTTGCCTCGCTCATTGAGATGGCTGGTATGCCAGCTCAGTGTAGCAATGCAGATCAGGCAGAATCTCCATCGCATTACCGTGCCCCTGCAGATGATGAAGCGCGTCCAGCTCAGCTCACTTCCTGCAGCGAGTAATCTGATCCAATGGGATAAGTCCGGCTCGGTTGTCAGGCCCACCGAATCTCAACAAATAGGAGAAAGTCGGGCATAAGTTGCCTCGGGGTATGTATGCAGGAGCAACACCTCATCCAAGCAGGCGATTGCGAGGCCCCGGAATGTTTTCTTCTCATGTAGGAGGAGCCCACCACCCTGCCTTTCAAATTATGCCTTTGGCTTCGGTCGTGTATTTCTCATGGACACACAGGGAAATGAGTGCAAGGAAAAGGGGTTTCATCAAGGCAGCGGCCAATCACAGAGTAAAGTCATGTTGCTTCACCATTTGACTTCTCGATGTGAAGTGAGCTGGCTGGCCGTGAATATGGGCAATGTTACGCTGAACCTGGGGACCGTCTCACAACAGCAATGCACCATGGGGATTTGGCAAGCATCACAAGATGAGCGTGACGTGTCAGTCACTTTCTGGCCTGAGATCTCGTCGTGATAATCACTCTGGGGAAACGAAGGTGGGCCAGGCCGGCCGTCCTATTCGATACAGGTTATGTTCTTTTTTCCTGGCGTGTCTTCAATCACCGTGCTATATAGCCCGAGTGGCGAATTGATAATGAGAGATGAGAAATCTGCCCTATGAAAGAGGCATCATGTCCTCCGCGGGCAGTTTGCGCATGATCACTAGGGGCTATTTCTAAGGCCAAGAATGTCCGATGATGAAGGCTGAATACAACCTGGACATATAGAGACTTCGAAGGAACGATTTGAAATGGAGTATACTGGGAAATTCTGTTTATAATTGAAGCTGAATGCAAAGAGGACCCCTAGATGACCCTTAGCATCAACTTAAATCAAAGAGAACCCGATATTTGTCAATGCCACCGAGAAAGCTAGATGCTATCGTCTCGTTCACTGACTTTGACTGGGTTTGTGTGGATTTAGCAGATGGCAGGATTGTATAGCATCCTCAATTTAGGACAATCATGACGAGCGAGAATTAATGGCCAATCGCACTTAACTCGATATTATCCTTAGAAAAGCTCGTTGTTTTCGTCCCTGCAGTGAACCAAATTTTGGCAAAAAAAAAGATTCTAGTTTCTAGTTTGTTTACCCCACTTGTTTGAGTCTAGATAGATATGCTGACAGTTTACAGATCCCATTTGCCCGGTCGAGAAATGGGAGCATATGGCCGTTCGTCGAAGGTGGAGTTGGCCTAGTTTGGGTCACTTTGTAGACACCGTCGTTTACCTCATAGTGGTATACACACAATTTTGAGGCTGTTCATATGAAGCAAGAACATCTCCTCTTAATACTTGTGTTAATCGGCTTCCTGGTGACCCGATAAGCTGTTGCCAAGCCCCGGTGGTTTCTGAATTTGGTCAAAACCGAAACCCTCGTCCGTGTATCCGTATTTTCTAGGACAATTAGATTTATCTGACTCTTGGCCCCTGGCCGTTTCATTGAGTATGGGGCAAATATAAAGTTATTTTAAGCTAGACTAGGATACTTCCGGACCTTGACATGGACTGTATTTTGCTTGGGTAGGGGTGTTGTAGATATCAGAGATTCCTTTTCAACGAAGTGAAGATGGGCTCAATAGGTTCTCGAGGGAGGTTGTGAATCGTTTTATGCTGTGCAAAGCTGAACCTACCAAGCCAATGGCGAGACAAATGATTGATGCGCTTTAGATGCCATTGCTACCCAAAACTTGGGTCTTGTTTGAAGCTGAACCTCCTTTCTGGCTCGGAATTGGTGAGCGCATTCGTTTTCATTGTATTTCGTTCTAGAATTACAGAATATTAGGAACACTTTGCTATATACCGCGCCCTATCTGCAAGGCAACTTGTGACACGGGACATGACCTCTCATGAACCCTGACCTTCTGGTTTGATGGCAGCCAAGGTATATAAATAGCCTCCACCTTGAAGGATTTCCAACAGCTGACGGGCCACCAGAACCTTACGGGCCCCCAGGGACTGATATTGCGCCCGATGTGACTAGGGCGGCAGATTAATTGCACTCCGTTCTGGGTCAATCCGACGTTCGCGGAGATATTTAGACAGGGTAATTTGAGATCAAGTACAAATGAATGTCAGACCCTGCGATTCTTCCATGCAGACGCTGGACAATCCTGTGATCTTCTCTACCTCGTCGAGGCTGGTCCTTTGAATTTTTCTGTTTCTTCTCTTCTTCGCTAAGGCAGGCCCTTGATTTCATTTGCCAATTCTTAATTCTTTTATTGCATCTCTAGTATTTATTTTGGAGCGAATCGGGACTGATTAATTGTTACGAGACGCCGCAAGTCGTTACGATAACCCACTTCTGGATAATGTTTCCGAAGACCTTCGCCATCTTCGGCCTGGCTGCCGCCGCAAGCGCGCACATGTTCATGGAAAACCCAGTGGCATTCACGAACCCCAGCAATTCACCCCTAGAAGCCGATGGTTCCGATTTCCCTTGCAGGGGAGTAACATCCGGGGATGGCAGCGAGTCGAATGTCTACGAGCAGGGCAGCACCCATAGACTCAAGTTGCAAGGGACCTCCGTGCATGGCGGCGGCTCCTGTCAGATTTCCGTCACGACCGACGTGCCTCCGACACGTGAATCGAGATGGAAGACTATCAAGTCCATTGAAGGTGGATGTCCGGCTCGAGGCCAGAAGGGAAATATGGGCAACGACCCTTTCGCCGAGGACCCTTATACATACAACTTCACGATCCCCGAAGAGTTGGCGACCGGAGATTATGTTATTGCTTGGACCTGGTTCAACAAGATTGGAAATCGAGAAATGTACATGGACTGCGGTCCTCTCACCGTGACGGGTTCAGGAGGCGACGAGGACTTCTTCGACACTCTCCCTGATATGTTCATTGCCAACATTGACAACGGATGCTCTACCCCGCAATACCACGATGTCCAGTTTCCAAACCCAGGGAATGACTTGGAGCAGCTGAATGGGAAGACAACCGCTTGGGCGCAGCCCACCGGGACCGCATGCTTCAGTGCGGGAAGCCCTTCATCAGCCACGGCTACCCCTACGCCAATCGTCAAACAATCACACTCGGCTGAGTCGGACGATGACGATAGTTTTGGAAGCGACCATTCATCGAATAGCACATCTTCTGATGATAGTGAGTCTGGTGATGAGGAGCACGTTGTTGCTCGTGAGATCACATTATTAGAATACGAGGAGATGACTGCATAATCCCTCTAAACCGCTTCTCGGGCTACATCCCGCTTCTGTTCGCTTCATTGTATATATTAGATTGAGCAACAATAGTGCTAAATTTTAAATGAGAATTCTTTCTGGTTAAGAAGTAAGGGGAAAGTGCATGCGCAAGCTATGCTATACTGACGGTTTCCCATTGCCATTTAAAATATTTTCTTGTCATCATCGGGCCCCTTGTTAAGGAGACCCAATAATTGAATATTGCCTATCATAATCTACATGGTAGACAAACCGGCACCCGGCACATGGAATCTAGTTGAGCGGGCTCCTAAAGTCTCACCGACTGATTGATATTCCCACTGCTGACTTGTTTGACAACCATGCACACGTCGACCCGCACACCGCTCCGTTTGAATATGCCGGATAGTGCGGAACATCGGCGCCGTTGGCGGGAGATTGACACCTTTCTTGGGTTGGCTCTGCCTAGTGCGACTCTGGGATATTGGTGTCGTTCGACTTACTCGTTAATGACAAGCTTTCTTTAGGTGCCAATTGACATCTTTACATTAATGGCACAGGCTTTTGACATCTTACGAACACCCTGTTTAAAACTTCTAAGTTGTGGGCCGACGATCAACAAATCCTCAGAATCAAGCTTCCGATTCCGGACCTGGACTGACGAGCCACCAATGATAGCGGATGCAACCTGGAAGACCGTCAGCACTGTTTGAACCTAAAATCTGAGATGTGAGGTAATACTTTGAAACTCAGAATACACATAATTACACGCATGCTGCTCTCCCACTAACCCAGTTCTTCTTTCACCTTCAAACTTTCCGTCTTTTCGACTCCACACCAAGCAAAATGGCGACCCCGCAAGATACTGAGAGGCAGCAGAACGCTACCAGCCTGTTTACCGAGATCGAGAAGGCATTCCAGAGCACATCGCTGGGCCCAAACAGATGGTACGTCCTCGCGGCCGCCGCCCTCGTCGGCAGCCCCGACCCGGAGCTCTGCAAAGAGCTGTACCTCTATCTCGTCTCCCTCCCGGCCTTCTCCACCCCGGCCCAGCGGCAGGCCCTCATCCGCCGCCTGAGGGAGGTGCTCGTCAAGAGCGTCAGCATCGTCGGCGTGTGCAAGCCGCTGGAGGCAATCATGGTCATCAACGCGTGCGAGCGGGAGGAGGACAAGGACCGCAGCTCCACCAGGGAGGGCTGGAAGTGCGACGAGGCCAACCTGGAGCGGGGGAAGGACTGGCTGGGCAAGATTTACACCCGCAACGCGGGTAGCACGCTGGCGCTGTTCGACGACCACAAGGACTTTGCGTGGATCAGCGAGAACATCACCTACGGGCTGTATCTCAGCGACCGTCAGGTTCTGGATGATGTCGAGACGGAGCTTGTGGTCCTACCTGGCATCATGATCCAGAACCTGCCCAAGGAGACACACTGGCATATCCGGGGCACGAGGAGGATTGGGGTGTCCAAGCATGATGTTCAGGTCATCTGGGACTGTGTGCAACTTATTGCCAAGTTTGTCGGGGTGAAATTAAACCGGGTCCCGACTGTTGAAGATGTCGAATCGGATGTGTAGAGGGTAAATGCTGGAGTTGGGAAGTCGAACCACATGACGGCTGGCGATCGCGGGATAGCTTAGGTCTAATGATTGTGCCTATCTCTTGACTTGATGGCCTTTTTGGGAAGGTTTATGGAATTGGCTTACAAATTGATCAAGAAGTAGGAGTATACTTTCTCTGGATCGTTACATTCATGTCTGTAGCTCAAGGTGGGCTTACAAATCGAGAGAGGAGAAGAGGAGATGCAAGATAGACCAAAGCACGCCATTTGTCAAACGGGTGTTAATTGCCGGCTTCATCCCGCGGGTTTGTAATACAGTACTCGTGAGATCATAGATACATCATTATTTAAACTTCCAAGCCCCTTCGATATCTCTGCTCCCGTAACTTGATACTTTTCCAAGTTGACGGTCCCAAGATTTGGTGGTGGCCGCAAGGATACTGACGCAAAAGCTCGAATATATCTCATCCCCGCTCATAAGCACCCGGCACTATGAAGGAAGCAATCGTCTGGAACAGAGACAATGAGACGACTGAGGTCGAGATACGCGAAGTCCCGATCCCAGAGCCTGGACTAGGCCAGGTGTTGATCAAAGTCGCCGTCACGGGCACAAACCCCAAGGACTGGAAGGTCCCCGTCTGGTACGAGAAGCAAAACGGGTCCAACTCCGGGGACGACATAGCTGGCGTCGTCCACGCTGTAGGAAAAGATGTTTTTGAGTTCAAGCCCGGTGATCGGGTCGCATCGTTCCACGAAATGCTGACGACCAGTGGGAGCTTTGCCGAGTACGCAATCGGCCAGGCCAACACGACATTCCACCTCCCAGCTTCAGTCAGCTTTGAGGAGGGAGCTACCATCCCTCTGGCGGCCATGACTGCTGTGGTAGGGCTGTTCGTGCGACTCGGCCTCCCAGAGCCATGGCACCAGCATAGAGATGCCGATGTTAGTAATGGCGTCATTGTCTACGGAGGCGCCACGGCAGTCGGCGCATTTGCCATCAAACTGCTGCAAAAGTCGAACATCCACCCCATCTACACCGTGGCGGGCAAAGGAGCCGACTTTGTTCAGGGTCTGCTTGATCCAAGCAAAGGGGACAAGGTGTTTGACTACCGCCAAGGGGACGAGGCGCTCGTCAAGGAACTGGGGGCTGCGCTGGCAGGCAAGCAGCCCAAGTATGCATTTGATGGTGTGAGCGAGCACGGCAGCTACTTGAATATCGGCAAGGTTCTGGAACCGGCGGGCAGAATCACGACAGTCCTCCCGGCTCAAACCCCCGAGGACTTCCCCAAATCAATTGAAGTGTCGCGTACGTCAGTTGGAGATGCGCATAAGGATGCCGGCAAGGACCTGGGGACGGCCTGGTTCCGCCTCTTCGCCCAAGGCCTCCAGGAAGGGTGGTTTACGCCTCACCCTCATGAAATTGTCCCTAATGGGTTGGAGGGTCTAGGCCAGGGTCTTCAGAACCTTCGAAAAGGCAAGGCTAGTGCTGTCAAATATGTCGCTAGGATATCCGAGACACCCGGCATTTAGATCGGGTTGTTCAACATCTTCTGGTAGCAGCTCGACCTCTATATTCTGAGCTCCCAATGTCACAGCGAGCGTAGTTCGCCTGGATCTCAAGAGGCCAGACTCCTATGTTTTATTTAGCGCAGGTAGGACATGTATTGTCCACACATCATGTAACATATTCCCTGATGCGTATATGAATTGTCCCCACGCTACAGAATGAATCGTCGTGTTGTGAGCCAGGCATTCGCTGATCGGCTGAGCTGCTTGGTGAAAACCAGTAATGTTTTCATGATTAACTGGCAAGAAAATTTCTTCTAGAGAGCCGTATAGTGTGGAATTATTGGCACCAGGTCGTGTAGAAGATGTAGAAGTACTCTCGGCGTATTGAATGCTCGCCTCAGCGGGGAAATCGGCATCTTGGCAAGTAGCCGATATGAAGCCGACCCCGAAAGCGACACACAACCGGTAGATTCTATCCTTGTGTCGATCCTATCCTTGCGCTTTCTTATATTGTGACGAAGACTCACTGAAATCATTTCACCGACAGAGTGAAGAACGGTCGAGCAAAATGCTCACGAGAGTCATCCTAGTAGATCGGGCCTGGAAAACGGCACTCAGGCCGGCCAAGATACAATGCAGGAAGCTGAGCATCACGCCATCACGCCCTGCGCCGATCACGACGACTGCAAAGGACGCAGCAAACCGTCTCCTGGAGACCTTTTCCGGCTCTACCACTGTTAGTCGCCAGGTCATCGACGCGAACCAGCTGCAGAAGCTTGCTCTCACCCTCGGGCGCCCGACGCTCAACGGCCTGGACGTGTCTCAGAACGCGCCGCCAATAGGCACGCCTGTGCCGCCGGGTTACCATCTCGTCTATTTCACGCCCAACGGCGTCGAGTCAGAGCTGGGCGCCGACGGGACGGATAGGACATTCAATGCGCCTGTCCCGTTCACCCGGAGAATGTGGGCTGGCGGTAGAATGCAATGGCAGTCGTCTGGTGACGAGGGCGACGCGAGTCCGATCCTGCGTGTTGGCGACGAGGCAGAGGAGCACACAAAACTGGTGAGCGCCACCCCCAAGACAAGCAGGACGGGCAGCGAGATGGTGCTGGTCGAGGTTGATAAGGAGATCTGGACGCCTCGTGGTTTGGCAATGGTGGACAGGCGGTCGTGGATCTTCCGTCCGGAGGTTGATCCTCAGACAGCCAAGGAGCCACCGGCACTATCAGATGCCAATACAAGAGGGGTTTCAGAGGCCAAGGATGTTGAGGGAACTGGAGGTGAGTGAAATACCTTCCATTAACAGACTTCTGTTGAAACAGCACCCGCGCCGCATTCGATGTTCTAACATGGTTTCGACAGGTTATCAAGCACGCCAATACCGCTGGTCACCAACTGGGCTGTTCCGTTTCTCCGCATTGACTTTCAACGGCCACAAGATTCACTATAACGAAGACTGGACACGCCTGGTGGAATCTCACCCCGGTCTGGTCGTCCATGGACCTTTGAACCTGATCTGCTCACTTGATTACTGGCGTGATGTCCATGGGAATGGCAGATCCCCAAGCGAGATCACGTATAGGGCTTTGTCACCACTATATGCAGGACAAACTTATCAGATACAAACAGGAGAAGTCGAGACTACAGAAGATGTTCCAAAGTGGGAAGTTCTGGTGAAGAGGGGAGATGTTGTATGTATGAGAGCAGATATTAAAAAGTGATTTACAGCCATACTTAACAAAATTTGAATCCCTGTTTTCGATTAGCAAAGATTGTGAAGTATAAAGAACGAGCAGAGTAACAAAAATAAATCTTTAAACCGGATGAACCAATGAGTGACACATATCTACCTACCCACATGGTATGGCCGGTCGACCCTTATGCTTGCGAAACCGGAGCGCTTACAAGATTGATGCAAAAACAACACTACAATGTGACACAATAGATAACATGTAGGCTCCTGCTTTCATTTCTTTCATTCTGTGTCAATCTGAGTAATATAGAACCAGGCACCTTCCACTTCTTTAGTGTTACCACTGTACGCTGCGCTTGAGACTGGTGCTGCAGGTCGACTCGCACCCGGAGCAAGAGGATCCAGGCTCTTTCGTGGTACCCCCTGAAAATACAGCTGGCCCAGGCACCACGTAATTTGTCATCGGGGCGTGTATGTTGACCAAGATACCGGGGTCTGAAGCGGAATAGGCGCCTGGGAAGTTGACCGTTGCTGGAACTGAGCCGCTTCCGCCAGTGACGGTGAGTTGAAAGCAGGTAACGTAGGGTTGTGCGCCGCCCGACCCAGCAGCAGTATGCAAGGCTATGACCTCAGCCCGCAAAAGGTAGTCTCCCGAAGGAATGTTGGAGGGGATCTTGACATTGATCTTGCCACAGCACAGGTTCAGATCTTTGACACCCCAGTAATCGTCATCTCCGTTATATCCAGATGGATTCTTCTTCCAACCGTCTTGGAAGATCTTGAACCACCCTGACGAGCCGTCGGCTGTGGCTGAGTTGCTGACCTGCGATAGATAGGCCATGACTGGTCCCCAGTGGTTGCCACCGATGCCCTCGTTGGCACAGTTGCGATCATTCGGTTGCTGAAGGCCACAAGCGATTAGACAATACAATATGGGGGTTAGAATCTTCCGGAAGCTTACCTGGTGCATCTCTAACGTAACAGTTTGGCCCGCGGCGACGCTGCATTTTCCAGAAACGGGACTCGTACCGGCATTGCAACGAATGTCATTGCTAGTGACACTGCCTATTGGATTGTTGTTCAGTGGGAGACGTGCACAGGTGGCTCCGTGGATGAGTGTTAGTCGAGAGTAAAACTAGATGGTTGTTCTTGAACTTATCTTGTCAACTCCGTTGACCCAGAGCTGTTGGAAGGTGGCATGGCCGTGAACTGGCTGCATCAGCAGCGCAGCGAACGCAGCCGTGAAACTTAGCTTCATTTCGACACAATATTGCTTTAATGTCAGTTGATTACCGTTTTGGAAATCTCTGTACTATTTTATGATTGAGGCTGGGGCCATTTATACCCCCCGTGTATCTGCAGGACCGTTTAACCACTTATACTGTCCTGTTACATCGGTGTCAATATCGCCGAACCAAAAATGGCACTTTAGCCTCAAGCGGAAAAAAAACAAGAGATCACGCTCCACGTTTTACTAGCCAAGATTTAAGTCCTTGCTTCCTGCGACCTACCGTAGTAAGGAAGTCCCTCCATCTCGCGTCGTTGGGATTAGGCTTTCGCCGTATCTGCTCCTTGGTGTGTGTAAGCTCAGATCATTTCCGGAACGTGAACAGAAACGGTACACGGGGATCTTCCTCCGTGGCTAGAAAAATGCCCCCGGAGGATGCATGACATGGAATGACCATGCAGCCACTCCTTCTGGCGAGTGTCATGTGGCATGCAAGTGTACGGCTAAACAAATCTCCACGAGTCTAGGAGTTCATGAGTGTCTCTTGAGAACGATGATTATCCTTGCTCGCTAGTTGAAGTCTAGGCATATCAATATTTCCCTTGCCCTAGCTTACTTTTAAGAGATCCTCCGGATAAACGTGCTATTTCACTGATAAAAGCCTTTTCGGTTTGAGTTATCTCTACTTTCTTGTGTTTTAGTCGCATGCCACCAGGCAGGAAATACGACATGTAAAGGCGAAACAGAATGCTCTGTATAGGAACTGAAGTTGATTTTAGTTGAAAACATTAAGCTATTTCTGTTTAACGAAGAAAACACCCCTTTGATGTGCAATGGATATCGTTTGATCATGTATCTCTCTTCCTCGGCCATAGAATATCCTTGCGATTCCCGTACCTACTATTTATACAGCGGCGACACATATAGGCAAAAAACGGGCTATATTGTTGCGGAATTCCCCTCACTTGCGAGGAAGCGATTTCATCAGCATACGCACTGCATCTTGATATTCTGATAGGCAGGCTGATACTCTCTGGGCCGTTGTATAAAATGTTGTAAAAATAGGTAGGCGCTACTGTAATGTACCTACTTTAGCCATCTTGGTGAATCTAGAACCACGTATGGCCAACATTGGAATGGCACGTGTGATTCATGTGAAAATGCCATGGATGCCAAGCGAGAGACAAACAGCAGTTTTCGTGCATGACACAAAAGGTTGAACGCCGCGGCTGTCGTGCGTGGATAACCGCAGCACCCTGCAGGAAATGCTAACCAGAAGATACCTGGCTTAAAATGTTAGACTGGGGTAGGATGTCGCTATTGATCTACGAGGTTTTGGTTCTTAGATACGAGAAAGTAACGAAGCAAGGAGCTTCAACAACACCAATCTTACAAGGCTCGGTGATACGCCCTCTCACAAATTTTGTTGCAAATTAAAGATCGCGATTAGGAGATAGTCTAATGTTACATCATTTCGTGTCAAGAATTACAACAGAAATTAACGTCATGGCACAGCGTGCGGCGCTCAGACTCCAAAGGTAAACTCCCGATACTTCTTTTGGTAGTAGAACGTGGCCAGGCTACCGACGAGACCCAGGCCGAGTGGCACCGGCGCCTTGCCACGGGTCTTGACGATTCTCATAACAGCTGCGCCCAGCAAGGCGATGCTGTTGCCCAGGGCCAACTCGGAACCCCAGTCCTTGTTCTCCTTGAGGAGATAGCCTGGCAGGGTTAGCAATTGATCCTGCCTGGAAGCTGGCAGGCCTAATTGAACTCAGGATAGTGAATCTGCTTACCGGAAAAAGCATATGAGGCACCAAGGCCAAGGCCAGCAATCAGAGAGGGCTTTGATCGTGTCTTAACGTATCCGGCGGTGCCACCGACGGCCACTAGAATTGATTTGCGGTTAGCAGCGGTGACAAGGGGCCAAGCGGTGAGCGATTGCTTACAGAGAGCGGCGAGGGAGAAGGAGGGGTGGTGAGCCATTGTGATCCGCGGTGCGCCACAGTTCGTACGTAATTTACGAAGAAGAGGGAGAGCAGACAGCTGAGAGCAGAGACGTCAAGTGCTTGCAAAGTCGCGGATGTCGTGATTGCTGCCACTGACGCAGAAAACACGCCACGGCTGAACCCCGGATGCTTAATGACAAATCATTTGCCCGAGGCCGAAGCCCGAGACACTTCGGATCTTGTTACAGGGTAGGCTCGGACAAGGGGCAATTGGAGTTGCCTAGCCCTACCCTACGTCTTGCAATACCATCGTGGTAAGATAAATACATCTTTTTCTGGTTGATTAGGTAGCTCATTTCTAATCTGAAGACAAATGAGGTGCGGAACCTTTGAAACCATGTGCATCATTCATAAATGCCATTGCAGTCTTCCCTACATTGCCCGTGAAAGCCTGCATCAAAGCCGTCTGCTCTTCGGACAGGGTGCCTTTGTCAATTCTGAGCTGGTATTGAAGTGCAATGCCCACTGGATACAGGATCAAGTAGTTGGTGCTCGTGTCGGGATTCAAGAAACAAGGCAGTAAAGCAGCCATTTTGCGACAGTAAACTAATGGTTCGGTAAAATGAGGCCATATTTTCCGAGCTTTGGAGGAAAAGGAGTAGAGGTCTGCCTCATTTTGGAGAACATCGTATAACATGATACAGACAGCCCAGTATATTAAAATAAGGATCCCCTTTGAAAGATTCTCGGGCGATAAGGGATCGCTGCGGGTTTGATTTCCCGACTCCAATACGCATTCTGCGAATTCAAGCATCGGTCGGCCGGATACGGCTTCCCAGCCTTGGAGATCATTCGAAAGTGACCAGCATCTCGCTATTAGCTGTCTTCGGCGAGCTTTCTGGACATTTTGGTTTTTGCAAGCGTCGATGGAGTCTACCTCCGCATAAATTCCTGGGAGTTCAATCATAATGTCGAGCAGGCTATCCCTGGACGTCTTCTGGATGGTCTTCCATGGAATGGTTTTCCACTCTTGTTGCGCCAAAGGTGAGGGCTTCCTAAGCTTAATTCCAACGATAGCCTTTGTGGAAATATTAATTGACTGGCCGTATCAATCAGGATAACGAAAGTATCACGTACCTGACCATAGCGGCTGTCGGCAAAGAGTCTATGGGCATGCCCTTCGATAAAGGCACTCGGGTCTCTCAGTAGTATAAATGCAGCATTGCCAGTGACGTGCGAGCTCCACGCTTTGAACGGGTTCGGATGATTACTTTCATCTGATGTAGACCAGAGCTAATACAGTTCATTAACCATGTCCTTGTGACATTTGTAGTAAGCACACTGACTGACCAACTCACCTCGTAAAACCCCAGTAGCTTCAGAGCCGAGAGAATTAGGTAACATGGATGCTTGGAAGGCTCTCGAAGAATCCTCCCCAAAGAAAGCAGTGTCCATCCATAAAGCTCATGGCTTTTTCGGCGGATGGTTGGGCTATTTTCTACCTCGGCCATCCTTCCCAACACGCTTGCTAAGACTGCTGCCCGGACCATGCTGCTTTTGTCGTACAGGTCTTGAATCAGAGTAGTCCAGCCGTATAGCGAAAACTGTGCCGTATCACTTGAAGCCGATCGGCCGTTTGGAAGATAGGTGGACCAAAACCAACCCACCATGCGTTCCTCTGAAGCCCTTGAAACGAATGCATATTGATGAATGGTTTGCGGCGACAGAGGCGGTCTAGTCGGGGTTCTTTCATTTCCACGGTCCGCAATCGAATAGGCCTTGTTCCCAAGGCTGAACGAGGCACTTGGGACTTCTTGTGAAGTGTTATTGACGAATATGAGCTGCCGCTCGTATCCACCGCATGTGACTTGCCGTCTCAGGCATTGGCCACAGCCAGGTCGTTGTAGATCGCACTTTGAAATTCACGCACGCGGGTTAGCATGCTGGTGTTCTTGGCTTCGAGTTGTCAGGTCGATGCAATTTAGACTCACTTTGACTCTTCGGCTTCGGCAGGTCTTGCAGGCCTTTAATCTGCCAGGCACACCAACCATTTTCCTCTGTGTTGTCGTTGCGCGGATCCTGCATTGGTTGTCACAGAACAAGGTTAAAAATTCAAATCGAAGGATCATTTTTACAGGGAGCGGTAAGTGGATGGTTAACTAGTGCAAGGGGCACCTGGCGGACATCTTACATAACTACCAAGTGCCTGTAGACTGGAGCAGTGACATATTGTTTATGTCCAAGAACTCATGACATATTCTTGTTTTTGGACGGCGTTTGATCCTAAAGTAAACCTGGTCTTCTGCTCATCAAATTGTCTTTAAATCTTCATTCAGAGCACTCCTTGATCTCTTCCGCAGATTTGTCGGACAGCCCCCCCATCGCTGAGTTCATCATCGGATCACCCTCACGATCTTTGGCTTGCTGGGCTTCTCGAACAGTTTAACGGCGGCGAATGCCTATATTTGGGTCTGTGTGCTACTTATATGCTTAGAAGCAATGGTTAAACATGTAGCAGTGAATCTGGGGCAGTGAATAGGGGGCTAGTGCAAGATACACGAGGAAGCTTGTTTCGAGACCAGACTGCCCCGTTCTTTGGATAGCTCCGGAACTTGATTTGCTGACACTTTGAGAGGGAAAATCATGGGGCAGTGGTTCGCCGCACCGGGGTTTGCCGCGTTGCTTGTGTTGGGTGCTCTTTTCTTGCTTGACAGCCCCGGGCCAAGAAACGAGTGTGCTGTCCTTCATTAATTGGTTATCCTTCGGGCTAAATCCACCCTTTTGGCCAGGTAGAGACACCGACTCATTGGCTGGGCTGTCGCTGATTGCCGCTACTTATGCAAAGGAATCACTAGTTCCATCGATTATGCCTTGGGATGGTCAGCCGCATGCAGCCACACGGGAAACGGCACAAGCTTGTAGACACCAAAGCCGTCAGCCGAACCCCTAATTCTGAAATCGCCGTCATTCGATCACTCCTTCAACTAATGGCTGACCTGTCCTTGATGAGCTCTTGATATTGTTTGAGAACTAAGGTAAGGAGATGCTCGAAGCGAATCACTCGCACACATCGTAACATGAACCGGGGACTGGCGTGGTCGAGACGTCTCAGGCACTGCAGATAACCCGATGGCAGATCCGCCCAGGCTGTCTCGACAAGTCTCTGACTTGCGTCTGGAGACGGAATTTCTCCAGTCCTCTACAGAGCACTTAATCCGGGGAGCGGGTCGGCGTTCAGTGAGACAACGATGGCGTTCACACGATCACAAACCAATACTTGGGCAGGGAAGTTATGGTGTCGTGCGTTTGGAGCAATCCGAAAGCGACCCCATTGCGCTGCGGGCCGTAAAGCAGATCAAGAAGAGTGATCCAAATGGAAGCAAAATAGAGTATGCACGGGAACTAGAAGCGATTGTGAGATTTTCCCACTCCGAGGTATGCAACCCCTAGGACTCAAAGTAAGCTGCGTGTGCCAGGCGACTCACCTTTTCTCCAGCTGAGGCATCGATTTGTGTGTTCTAGCGGGTGGTTTGAAGACGAAGCGTCCATTTTTATCGTCATGGAGTATCTGATGGATGGTGATTTGAGTCATCATATCAAGAGTCCGCTCGCGGAAAGTGATGTAACGGAGATCATCGGCCAGATCTTGGAGGGGCTTGGCCACATGCATGATCACGGTTTTATCCATCGTGACTTGAAACCCGGGGTGAGTAACCATCGAGAAGTTCCTGGGGGCCTGGTGGGTTAACCTAAATTTGTAGAATATTATGGTGGCTGCCAAACATCCGGCGTGGAAGGTCAAGATCGCAGACTTTGGCGTGAGCAAAGAGCGGCACCTGGCATCCATCTCCCCCAATACGTTCTATGTAGGCACCCTCGGATATGCTGCCCCTGAACAGCTCGCAGTGGGAAAACTACCCGACTCTTCAGTCCACGGAAATGAGGCAGATCTATGGTCAGTCGGTATTATCACGTTCCGAATCCTCACGGGGAAGCTCCCGTTTCTTGATACACAAGCGCTCTCTCGATACACGTTTGGCAAAATCCAGTTCCCAGTCGATCAACTAGACTCCGTCAATGCATCGAGGAATGCTGAGCGTTTCATCCGGGGTCTTCTCGTCTTTCAACCACATGAGCGGATGTCAGCTCGAGCATCGCTTGCTCATCCGTGGATGGGCTCTCGAGCCGCATCAGAGGAATCGCAATTATCGTAAGTCTTTTTCGTAAGGAGGATAGATGCATGAGCGTAACTAACCGAATCTTTTGCTCGCCAGCCTGCGCTCTATAGAGAGCATACACAGCCAAAGCTCATATCCCATGTCTCAGGTCTCCGAGCTGCCATCTGCTCGCTGGAGCGATGTATGGGACTCTACACCAATGCCTCCAGATACCGTTCAGCCGGAAAAACAACGAGAGCAGCCAAGGAAGCCCCAAGGGCCACCTCCGCAATCTTCGTCTGCCATTAAACTATCTCAATCGTCACAACTCCCTTCAATTCCATCACCCACTTCAAACGAAACTGCTCAAGCATCTCAAATGTCCGAAAAGAGCTTGGAACCTTCGCTCCCCTCACCCCAATATTCTTCGACAGACTTAATGCCTGAGCGAACTGAAAAGGGAGGTGTATTGAAAAAGCACTTACGAGCTGCCCAGATCGGAGTAGCCAAAAGGCTTGTCGAATGCCAGAACTACCAAGAGGCTGTTCCCTCACTGAAACAGCTTCTCAGTAAATCTGGCGAGCTTGACGAGACGCAGAAAGCGACTGTTGCCAATTTGGGTGCCCTGGCGTTCATCGAAACCCTTGTGCCGATAGCAGAGATTGAGGTATATTTCAATCAGAACGAATCGTTCAAATCTGCATATTTGGAGTCACTGATTCAGAAGAATAAAGAACGGTGTAGTGCTGAAGCCTACCAAGAGGCTGCCACTTCGCTGAAACAGCTTTTGGATAATTACAACCATTTAACCTCGGACCAGCAAGAGACCGTTACTATTTTGGCTGCCGTGGCATTCATCGAAAGTAGCGTGCCGATAGAAGGTACACTTGGGCATAACAAGGAGTTTGAGGTTATGTACGACAAGATTCGGGTGCGGAAGGTGGAGGAGTGGTTCGTACAAAACCGCCATTATGATATTATCAACCTTTTGAAGGAGTACCAGTCTCTTGAGCTTCCTCCCTGGTCACCGGATCAATCGTCCGCGTATCCGAACATTGATGAGGAGATACGGCTACGAATGCGTCTGGCCGCATGCCTGAATCTTACGGGCGATGCACAGCAAGCCAGATCTATCTTGGAGAATCTGCTAGTGTTCATGGCTGACTCACACGACCAACGAGCTCCTGTCCACATCATGGTGTCTGAGACACTCATATCGTCCTCGGCATACGAAAGTGAGGACCCAAAGTGGAAAGTTCTTGCCAAGAATCACGCCGAGGAAGCAGCAAATTTGTATATGGATTCCGTAGGCTTGGAGAGCCCGGGAACATTGAAAGCGGCGACTCTCGTGGCTGACCTCTCTGAAGAGCTTGGCGACGAGGATCAGGACGCCTGGAAACAAATCCTAGCCGACGTCAAGCACAATAACCGTCTCGGAGAAATGAGGAAATTCGCATCCGAAGCGAACAAGTTCAAGAGAAAGAAACACGCCCAAGCTTTGGTGCTTTGCCAGACCAGGATGATAGAGGCGTCGCATACGGACCCCGACAGAGCCGTGGAGATCGCCCTGGATTACTTGAAATCCAATTTTTACATGCGTGACGGGCAGAATTTCTGCGAGAAATGTGCCGAAGAGTACTTCAGGAGAAGCGACTTTTCATGGAACGCTGCTACCCCTCTAGAATGGACCGCGTGTCAACATGATCCCAATATCAAGATGATTTTCTCGCCACTGCACTTCTTTGCTTGTGTAGTTCGCAAAAAGGCATCAGGGTCGCCTCCTCACTGTGCCCAGGAGGTGGCCTGCATTCTCGACATGGCTGCCATAGGACCCATTTTCAACAATACCATCGCATACAGTAGTCAAGGATCGGATAAGATTTACCCTATCACTCCTCTCTGGGTGGCTGCCCTCTGGGGCGAAATGGAAGTTGTGAACTTTTTTCTGTCAAGGAAGGGAATTGATATCAATGTTGGATCCCAGTCGATAAAAATACTCGGGTTTTCCAGATCCGCCGGGGGCGAGAAAACCATCATTGCGGTTCTCCGCCAGATGTCGCGCGCCCAGCTTGATATTTGTCTCAGGGAATCTGCCGGAGAAAAAGCCAGGTATCCCTATTGGCCATGGTGTTTCGCTTCCAAAGATATTCTGCACGCAACGCTTGAGAAGCTGGGACCGAGCAGTGGTGGTGTCAGAGTCCCATGGAGGTTCCAACCCCAATGGGAGGACCTCGTAGAGGAGGTTGATTGCAGCCTGCTCATAATTCTCCTAGCTTTCCCGGTCGCCATTGCGAAATTTCCTATGTCAAGGCGAGAAGCCTTGGAAGTACTCTTGAAGTATGGTGCAGATATCAAGAGTACTGGGCCAAAATTGAAAGATGAGGGGCAACCAGCAATTCTGAATGCTATCAACGCTTTGGGACTGGGCCTAAATAATGCTATCACGAAGCTCGAAAGCTGTTCCACAGCAACAGGAGAGCAAGAAGGCCCTGGCAATATACAGGCTATTGAGCGGAGTAGACTGTACGACGAGATCAAGACGTCGGCTGCCATGACGCACCATGTCATCAAAAAGCTGCCATCGTTCACTCCTGATGGCGGAGGGAATCACCTTCATATGTCGTGGAATCCACAATGGAATAATTACTGGTCACATGTTACCAAACAATTTGTCCATTTGGAAAGTCAGACTAGAGTCGTGCGGCAAAGGGACAAAATGCTGCACTTGATGGGGAAGCCAAGGCGACCCCGGCTTGACAGTGCTCGTCTCCGAATCTATCTTCCTGAGAGACTCCCCCCTTATACGATGCTGGGGCTGCCACAGAGCCCCAAGGAAGATTGGATTGATAAAGCCAGGTTACGAGACCTGCTTGAAAGCGACATTGCTGAAGTTCTTAGAACAGTCGGTTGGATTGATCAGACTATCTTGTTTGACCGAGCAGGCCCTTTCTATTGAGGATCCAGGTGACGAACCTTGTACTGCAATGCACTTAATTTTATGCACTTTATCAAACTTTGACCCTGTTAATATCCGGATGAGAAATCTTGGCTGACATTTTGCATTGATAAGCAACCAAAGTTCAGCGAAGGCGGATATCAAGGCTTTCTCAATACCCCAGGTTGGGTTCATCGGTTGAGGTGGAGGAATTACAGCGGCTTTCAGTCTGACTTCCAGGCTGGAGCATCAATATATATACTGATGCGAAATACTTTCAAGGGGGCTTGTATGATAGCCGCCCAAGTATCCAGGGGTTCGTCAATGGATCATTTAGGCTGACGTCTCGAGTTTTATACAAAATAGGGCAATCTTCTCTTGTTTTGCTGCACGTATCTAGGCGGATTCTTTTCACTGTGTTGAGATGTCGAGTCTGGCATTCCCATTGCTGTTTGTTACTTTGTGCTTGAACTCTCTCACCCGTAGCCAGGGAGATACTTGCGCGTGAGATATCTGCAACGGCTCTTATGTTCCGAACCCTCGTTTTGGGATAGACCCACTGGCTCTGGACTCTCCATGAGCATGACTGGAAGAACATAGTTGCTTTGATGGCGCATAAGTCAATTTGTGTTTGCAAGTCTCTGATTTCATTTAACACCGATGTAGGCTCCCCAATGTTCGACATTTTTAGCTGATCGGGGGGAGTTGATGAAACAATCGAGCCCTGAGGGTTGTGATGCTTGACCGCCATATTTGCAGGAGCAAATCCTTGCTGATATCGTCAGCTCGTTTATCCCGCTGCCTTCCCTGCAGCTAAAAGAGGGACGCGTTTAATAGAAAAGAGGAGAGACAGAAAATACCCATTTTGAGTGACAAAGGGGAGGCACTAGGCTTTCAGCGAGTCAAACATGCGAACCATCTTGCCGCCTGACAAGGCTTCAAGCGCCGAACCCCTGGCTGGCAGGTTGATGAATGATCAAATAGATGGGGCTGACGGGAAGGTGTCAGCGGCAATTCAAACGTACGGTTGCATCAGCCCCGGTCAGCCAGCATTAGGGGAGGCTGGCAATCAAGCCAGTCAAGTGGAAATTAATAAACAACTCATAACCCTCGGGTTAATGTAATCCCTCCTGAGCCCCTTGCACAGCCTCGAAGAAAACATCCTCTCACTTTGGAGCAAAGAACTGTGCCGATAACACTCCCAAAGTCCATCCTACACCGGCATTGCCTTGACTCTCCTCTATTTCTTGGCACCCTCACGCTCCCGTAAATCCCACATTCCGGCCGGCTGCTGCTTGTGAGGCGCGACCTTCTAGCTAGCTTGCTTCGATCAGTAGGTAGGCGGAGACTTATGGATCTGTCGCGGGAGAAAGATTTACCCTTGGAGCCGCAAATACTGCCCGTTTCACCACTTTACTCGATGGTGGAACAGCACCCAGTGTTTGAGAAGCTCGTTCTGCCAGATCTACCGCTGCATCCAGGACTGCAAAATCAGGCGCCCGATGTCCTGAACAACGCCGCCAATTTTGTCAGCGATTCTCAGCTGGATCTGTTAACAGTTTCCGGATCAAACAGCCATATTAGTAAGAGCCCTTGAGGTTTATTATTTGCAAGCTTGGCTAACGATTAAAGGCTACGCCTGCGATCAGAATGATATCCAAGTCGAGGCTGCAATTGATGTAAGGATCCAAGACTATCTAACTTGATCTTCGCCTCTGTTATTGGAGAATGATTGTCCGCAAATCCTAATACATTACAGTCTTTGTCGATTAACGAAAATGAACCCTCGATCATCATTATGTAAGGCACTGGAACTCCAACACCGGAGACGACAGCACTGACAGCTTGAGAAGATGCGCAAAGCTCGAGGCCAACGATAGTGCCACATATGGTCAGCAGACTTTGATGTCCAGAAGTCTTGCTATGAAGATCTTTGAACGTTTCGATATCAACGCTGCCTTTGTTCTCGATCTTGTAGGGCGGCCTAATTACTGGTCTGCTTTCTCGCAGGTCAAGTCTGATCGGGAAGAAAAGAAGGATGCCTATGGTGCGACATTTTATTCTCATCCCGTTGGAAAGTTGTTGCCGCTGACCCAGGAAACGATACAGAACTCTTCTGCCAGCATCCTCGGTGGCATCAGAAGGGACGATATGATAAGATGAAAGCCGGCGCCACTCAGGGTAATAAAGCGCCATGTTCAATTTATATGAATTATTCGGTCGCGAAAAATCAGACAATTTACTTGGTAGCGGCGCCTGACGATGGGATCTGGTTCTCATTTCTAGAGGGCATCAACGTCAGCAATAGTGCCGTCGATGGCTCTTTATTATCACCAAATGAACTTGCCTCGAGCCCCTTTTTGGTCCACGCTCTGATTTCCAACATCGCATTCGAGCAAGCCACTGAATATGCCGCTTCAGTGCGCAATCGGTTGATGACTCAGGTCGGTACAGATCTATCACGGATTTCCTCGACGCGATTTTACCACGTAGCTGACTCAAATTCATGAAGCTTAAACAAGTCAACGATTATGCTGATAATCAAGCTGAAGGTAGCCCAGTAAAACCAGGAGATCAAGATGCACGATCACAGCTACAGCGAATTACCATTGAGCTGCATCAAGTATCACAGATGCTAAATACAGGACTGGCAAGCGCCCAGTCGTCAATGAGATTGAGCGAGAGGTTACTGCAGGCGCATACGCTGTTCTGTGAACGAACGGGACAAGGCAGCCCAGGTACGAGCGTCAGCAGGACGCAAAGCGCCTTCCAGTACGTCAAGGATGCTTTCGAGTATCACAACAACTGGCTCAAGTCATACAAAACGAGAAAGGAGACTGCAATGAACTTTGTGAGCCCGCCCCGGAGAGAGCTGTCTGGCGGCCAGGATAGCTAACAATGCCCGTCTAGGTGTTCAACATGGTTACGCAGCAAGATAGCTCCACCAACTTGACCATGTCATACCGAATGTCCGAGGACAGCTCATCGATGCACTCAATCACGATATTAACAATGATTTTCCTCCCGGGAACTTTCACAGCCACGATTTTTTCAACCGTTGCCTTTCGAGCAAGCGATGCCGGCGACGCGGAGGTAACTGCATGGCTTCTCCCATTTTGCCTTGTGACAGGTGTGCTTACTCTCGTCGTTCTCGGTATTTGGTATTTTCGAAGCAGCTTTGGATCTTGGAGCCATTCCGTGTTTGAATGGTACGGCAGACGACAAAGGGGTGTAGGGACTCGCAACCAGAGCGGCATGATGGTCTGATCAAACGGTGCAATAAGTAAGATATCCCATATATAGCGTTACTAGAACTGGATGGCGTTATGTCTTTAATCAATCAAGTTCTCGTGCGATGTGTCTATGAGTCCATCAAAGAAGACAGGGGCCTGTTTGTGTACAAGACGGGTTTGATAAATCTAGTTATCTGACATGAACTGGTGTCCATTTCATTCTCTTTACTGAGCCAGGATTTTTTCGAAGCAAGCCCGACTAACATTGCGCACGACTTCGAGAGATGCCAGATGGGTAAACCAGAAGTAGTTTGGTTGGTCGCGGAAATAAGTCTTGTGCCCCGGCAGCCATGAATCCTTCCATCCTACCCCTCCTTTGTGGCACAGTAGCACTGCTTTTATGCCCTGTATCAAATCGATCTGATCAGACGGGGTCAAATTTATCTCTGCATCATCGCACCGCTCAGACGATGGAGAGCTGCACCCAATTTTGCGCACGCCTCCATAAGCTGGCCGCTCGAACCGGATCTACGCCATCCCGCGATGAGCTCGACTCCCTCCTCAGCCACTGGAAGTCCGATCTGCCGCATGGTCTGGCTCTGGGCACCTTCCAAGAGCTTCAATCTAGATCATGCCCCTTTTGTCAACTCGCCCTGGCCGCAATCACACATACAGTGGCCGATGTCAAGCGAATCGCCACCGACCAACCTATCGATGTGGTCCTATTTCCGGAAGAGACAGGATTCCGCTTGTCATTTCCATCTCGGCTTGGGACGCAGCTCCTGTTTGTCGCATCTAATGAAAGTCAAGTAGCGAGCCCCGATTGTGCCAGGGTCATCGACTCTTCTCACATATCGCCAGGAACGATATCCAGATGGCTGCATAAATGTCATAGTAATCACGCCAATTGTGTCCGGCCAGCAATGCTAAGCACAGAAGTAAGCAAACCCATTTGAATGACACATATTATTGGCTAGACACTAATGAAACTGCTTAGGATGACTCTCCCTCGGGAGGGTATTTTCGTGAGGAAGATACATCTAACTTTCGAGTCCTGGATCTCGAGGCGCGTTGTATCAAAAGAGTTGCACTGCATGCTAGATACGTTACCCTCAGTTACGTTTGGGGCCAGATTCCCATGTTTCAACTGCAGAGAGGAAATGTAAAGGCACTGGAAACACCAGGCGGTCTAGATTTGGTTCTTTCGGGCCTGCCGAGAACAGTGCAAAATGCAATCGACCTCGTCAAATCGATTGGCGAAAGATACCTCTGGATAGATGCACTGTGTCTGGTCCAGGATGACATACGGGATGTCAACATTGGCATAGAACTCATGAACTCAATCTACCAAGGCTCATATTTCACACTTGTGGCCGCGACTGGTGCGGACAGCAATGCCGGACTGCCCGGATTCCAAGATGCTCGGGCCTCAGGTTTTCAGATTGTCAAGGAGCTGGTGCCGGGGGGCATGCGCCTGGCTGTTGTTCACAGTATCGACTGGCACATCGAAAAGTCAATCTACAGCTCACGAGGATGGACGATGCAAGAACTGGTTCTTCCTCGACGCACTGTCATATTCATCAACAATCAAGTGTACTTCCGCTGCCACGAGGCAAATTGGAGCGAAGAGATTTGGTCGGACAAATTTACGAGCTGGCTTGACCCTGATGACAGCAATATTAGCCGTATCCCGCAGATTGATGAAGGAAGAGTTTTCTCTTTATGGGTATATCAGAAGCTTTGCGAAGATTACTCTCGGAGGATCTTACGCAATGATGGGGACGCTCTTCGAGCAGTTGCTGGCATTAGTCGCCCATTGTTTGCAGGAATGAGAACAATTGGAATCGAGGGACTGCCCGCATATTTTCTTGATATGTTTCTCCTATTCGTATCCCCCGAGAGTCGCCTCAGGCGTCGCCCTGAGTTTGCGAGCTTCTCATGGGCTGGATGGGAAGGCAAGATCCTCTGGCCACGTGAGAATTACGTGGCGTACGACGAGAGTGGTAACAGTTTCTGGAACCCTGAGAACATCGCCAAGTATTTTGCAACCAGCAGGTTGATAGAATGGGCTGTGTGGCCGAGAAGCCAGCGTCTAAGAAAGTTTTCACGTGTTGAGCCTGGGAAACAGACTCCGTTGGGGATGCTTCTTCAACAGTTTCCATTACTCTTCCCTCATGAACAAATCTCAGAAGAATCTAGTTTGATCAGCTCTGTAGAGTTGGATTACTCCTATGACCCCGACCTCCTTGGCTATGACGAAACGAACATTGACTTTCCTTGGTTAGATTTGGACAGGGCAAAGACAATTTTCCCTGGTAGAGGGGAAGTGAAAGAACAAGAGACAACGATCGAAGGCGGTAACAAGACTAGACTCATTAGAAAGGCACTCCAGTCCGTCAATAGTCAAGCCGAGTACAACCAGCTGGTGGCAAAGTTCTCAACGACCCAACACAGTACAGAAATAAAGTACTTACGAAACTGGTTAGCATCTCGTCAATGGAGTGAGATATTTTGTCAATAACCTTTTGGAGAACGACCTGCTAACTCTCACAGAAATACGTAAATTCCACCAACAAGTTGAGTCAAGTTCTCAGCAAAGCATCCCATTTTCAACCGCCTCTACCTGGCAGAAAGAGCACTACTTTTTCCGAGAGCCCAGGCATTCGATCCACTCTGATGAAAATGCCAAGATGCAGCGAGATGATACGAGGGTAGCATCAATTAAGACCTATTCTGCTCAATCCAAACTCTCATTACCCGGATATACCCAAACAAGCGACATACCAATACAGTTCGTCAGATACACAAAGTCATATTAGTATTCGAGCGACTGACGCTAATGATTTGATAGTAACCTTCCACCTTATTGTATCCTTTACTTTCAGTCCGTCGTTTTCAACTTAGCGTTCGGTGAGAGGCCAACTAGTTGGGCAACAGATCATCCATCAAAGGCAGACGCAATGCCAGCTGATTCGCATGCAATCGATGATATTCCACTTCACTCAGCCAGTGGCACACTAGTTGGCTCTCTTCATCCAGATCATCTGGACTTTGTGGGTTCGGTGGGGGAAAAGGTGCAGTTAGTGGTTGTAGCACGGTGTCAGACTCTAACCAGTAAATCTGCACTTTGGCAGTCCAGCCTCATATGTGACCCATCCGGGAAAGCACTTGGAGGACCTTGGGATTTGCTTTGGGTTATGTCAATAACTTGGGTCGACGGGATCGCCGAGCGCAGAGGGATTGGGCAAGTACTGACTCAGTCCCTGGCTGATTCAATAGAGCCTGGGCCTGAAGTGAAGGAGATTCTATTAGGTTAAGAATGATAACATGGTACATTCTGGCTGAGCCCAATTGCAAGTATATACATGTAAATAGGTGGAACCTAATTATGAAGGAGGCATTATATAAACTCAAGAATTGAATAGAACAATCAACGGAACCCCTGACTTAATGAGACTCGACGGCGTAAGTTACCTTGATCGATATCCTGCCTTATTTGGCCCAGCAGCGATTCTGCCAGAGGTTGAGTCTTCCGCTGTTTGGGTCAACTGACACATAGTCCGCACGTTCATCACCGGTCATCTGTAGGATCTGTTAGAAGGAATCAACAATATCAGGACAGCCACCAAGGACCTACTTCAGTAATCTTGACCGAAGGTCCAACGGACCCAGGCCCATCCGCAAAGCTAATTGGCGAGTTCCACGAAATGGAGTTGTCACTTCGGAAACCACCATGAAACCAGGATCGTGCAGCACCGCTAACCCTGTCTACTACGACGTAGTCCAACTTGCCGTCCCCATTTGTATCGGCAAAATGAATGTCTCGTGGCAGGGCACCCACTCCTTCCGCCACTTTTCTAGGCGTGCCCCAAGCAATGGGAGTTTTCCCAAGGTTGGGCCACATGACAACAGCGCCTTGTTCGTTGACATAGACATAATCGTCCAGCCCGTCGTAGTTTAAACTTGGATGTCTTGTGAGTAGATGAAGATTGGGACACAAGAGGGTGAACTCACTCAGCAAATCGAACATTCTTGCCTTTGAATTTCCACCCATAGGTATCCTCGATAGTCTTCTTGGGACCTGCAGCGGCCTCTCCTTGAGACGACCAGCCGTAATTATTCGATGCACCCAAGTTTTTCCACCAGTTAGCTTGCCCCGTCTTGTCATCGACCACGATATAATCAGCCCGGCCGCTGGAGGTGAGGACTCCCATGCGGATTTGGTTCCGGTCGCGTTTCTCACCGTTGGCAGTATTGCCCAGATTCTGCCATTGGTTCTTGCCTTTGCCTGTGTTGAGGTAGCCCCATCCTTTGCCTTCATGGTCCAACCAGAAGTAGTCGCTCGTACCATCTCCGTCCACTATGTTACAGATTAGCGTCAGATGACAAGGAAACGTGCCAATGACAGAACTCACAGTCACAGAGGACAACGCCTTCTCCTTCCTGGTACTTGCCCCCTGTTCCGGCGTTCTCCCACAAGGTGATTTTCCCGGACTTCTCATCGATAGCCAAGTAGTCCACCTTACCATCACCTGTCATGTCGGCGAAACGAACCTGGTCCTGCGTCACGCCATCAGGACCAGCAGCCAGATCGAAAACAGACAGCCAGGCTGGGATCATGCTATTCTCTTGGAGCCGGTTCACCAGTCCCTTTGTCTGGCCACCACTTGCCACAATTATATAATCTGCTCTTCCGTTTCCGGTAAAGTCACCGAGGAACACCTTGTTTCCCTTGGCGGCCGAAGCCCCCGTGGCGACAACACCGAGTTTATGGTATTTGGGGGTATCGCTGGCACCAGTGTTCAGCCAGCCAGTCACTTCTCCGCTGGATGAAACGATGCAGAAATCAGCACGCCCGTCCCCTGAAGTTCTTGGTAATTAGCAACACTATCTAGCACGGAAGGGGGATTCGAATCTCACCATCAAAATCAACCATCTGAAGAGTGGTGTTTTTGGCACCGACTCCGCTTGCGATAACTCCCAGTGACTTCCACTGCCACGACCCGTTGTTTTTCCCGCTGTTGATCCAAGCAGAAACGTCTCCATTGTCAGAGTCTACATAGATATAATCGTCTGCCCCATCTCCATTGAGGCTGCTAAGTGTTAGCTCGGGAAAGAAGACGGAATCGCAAAAGAGAAAACCTACTCGGCAAACATCACGCCGTACCCATCCCGTCCTGATTTACCGGACGCAACTTCTTCTGCCGCCTCCCATTTGTTCTGGCTCTTTCCAGATGAGTCAGGAATATTGCGACGAACCGTGGTGGCGCCCGTTTTAGGATCAACGCAAGCATAGTCCTTCAGACCGTCACCGTCGAGGTCCATGAGATGAAGCTGAGCGCGAGGACAGGCTCCGCTCGCGATGACGCCTGTCTTTTTCCATACCGGTTTGAAATCTCCATCTGTGGTAGCTCTGAGGAAGATTGAAGAAATGTCAGCCCCTGTTGATCATGTGTTGGGGAATATAGTGGAAGAGAGACGTACACTGAAGCACCACTGGCGACTTCGCCTACCTTGAGCCAAGATGGCGTCTCCCGACAATTGCCTGGGTTATTCGAATCCGGAGGAACCTGTGCTGTGCCTGGCTTCACAATCCAGCCCTTCGAATTTGCGGCGATAATGGCATCGTACCAAGTATTGGTCATCTTCGCGTATCCCGCATCCGTTGGGTGTAGAGAGTCGGTCAAATCAGCCGTGGTCAGGGCCGAGTTCATATCAACAACGGCAATGTGTTTGTTCGTGAAGCTGGCTACGACACCAGGGATCGCCTTGTTATATGCCGCGAGATCTGCCTGGGCCGTCTGGTTCTTCGAGGGGATGATCGTGGCAACAAGCACAACAGCATTCTCCGAGTGCGAGTATATGTCCTCGATCAGCGTCTTGAGACGAGCCGGCGCGTTTCCAACATCGAGGGCCCGGTTGATATCGTTGGTCCCGGCATGGAGCAGAACAATATTCGGTGCTGCGTATATACCGTCCTGGGACATGCTCTGAATTGTGCTGATCACTTCGCCTCGGTGCCCTTCATGGTCAGTATCCGCGAAATCACCACCGTGCATGGATCCAACAAAGTCGACAGCGTTCCCGTGATCCTTGAGCTTCTGGTACAATGCCTTGCGGTATCCGTTGTAGTTGGTACTGCCGGCGCCATAGGTGATCGAGCTGATGAGAGTCAGTGACTTCTTCAAATAGAAAATTGAAAATGAGTAAACAACTGGGGAGTAGTACATACTCTCCAATGGGGAGCACCCTCAGCTCAACACCATCTGCTAGTTCATCACGAATCTGCACCCGTGTTGAGACATCTCTAATGGCCCCATGTCTGCCGTGGTTATGGGCGTGAAGAGTCAAGGCTTCGGTCCCTGGGATCCATGATACGCAGACCATGTACAGTAGTGCGATCGCCAAGACTGCACAGAACTTCTGTCCTCTGCCGGCGGCTGGCCGGCCCGTTGATAGACTGAAAGCTGCCATGCCTACAACCTATGTACAGTTTTGTGCGAATAAGCCAACAGCTGCGAGCATCATACACGTCAATCTGAAGCCGCAAGTTGAGGGCATGGGCCTTTATGATGGACTGGAAGCTACGGATTTGTACCTGTCTTGGATATATTAATTGGTGCTGACGCATTTCGCCCCCTGCTCGGAGATACCCCTTTCTGTACAGCACCGACAGAGAGCCGCTGGTATATTTAGCATCATGCGCATACTTTTGGAGGCAAAAAATCCATTTAGGGAACTCGGATATTTAAGCAATCAAATAAGGACTTTGGTTTAATCAAGGACTCTCACAGATGGGCACTTGATCTCAAATAGGAACCTGGTGTCCATCCATTATGCCGCCATCCGATCGCTTGGCTATCACTTGCCAAGTCCTCTTACAGCAGATCAGCAGAAGGCCTGCCACTCTTTGCCTAAATGGCTACTGAACTGATATACTTGTAGAGTCTCCCCTTTAGAGGCCGGTTTGTTAGGTTCCGCTTCATCTTTTGCTTTTCTTTGCGGCAGGTGGGAATGGGCCTATTTAGAAAATGCATAATGCCAGCGAATGCCAAAATAGAGTGTCATGCAGCCAAGAATAGAAGGTCTGTCGTGGCAAATGTGCGGGATCGAGTCTTGAACCTTGCGAAGTCACCACATTCTATATCCAATACAAAACAATTTGTAGGATATTGCTTCCTTCATTCATGATAAATAGATCATCCGATTGGACCTTAAGTTTGGCTCGGACAGCACTAATACAATCCTGCCAGGTTAAACGTAGCTCGGACACTACCACTTCGGGCGTGAGGCGTGGGAACTGAGCAATATCATCATTCTCAGCATGCAGCCTTCATCTATGTGCCATCAGATATTATTCCTCTCTTTAGCCCAAAGCTTGTTGATGCTCGGCCCTTTCTCCATCCCTGGTGCCTTGAAAATGGAATAACAAACCTGCAGAAAAAAAGAAGAAAAACAAACCCAAAATTAAGATGAATTCAATAAAAGAAGATGATGGCATATTAGGACGCTTTCTTCATATGAACAATCAGTTGTCCGCTTGGCTCAACTGTATCAACTGCTCCCATAGTTCATCGAGGTAGAAGAGCGAAGAGATGTGTCCACCAGGCACGACCCTGAGCACGCTATTCTTGTAGTTTTCTGCCAACCAACTGTTGGAGCTCCCGCCCATGTCGTCCTTCTCCGAACCCACGATCAGCACTGGCTTGGAAGCATGTTCGTCATCGAGGTTTGAAGGTGAAAACCCCCAGTCCGAGTGAATGACATCAGACACCTCGAAAAAGCCCTGCCAAGTTTGGACACCTGCCATCCTTGCGCCCTCGGCCATCTTGCTGATGAATCCATCCTCTGTTCTGTTCACCTTGGCAAGATAGTTGGCGAAATTTCCCCGTTCATCGTCGTCCATCTTTGAGAACAGAAGCTCCCGGAGAAGTTGCTCGGCGCCTTCTTGCGTCTTGAGCTTCTTTGCAAGCACTATAGATACAAATCGCTGAAGCAGCCAGAATGGGATATATCTTGCTGGCGGCCCGATGGAAAAGTAATTTTGCCAGGTGAGAGTCCGCGTGTAGTTGGCCTGATATTTGAAGGGTGATAAGCCAGCCAGCAACATGCACCCTGCCAGTTTGCGCCCAGCAGGGAAGTCGTCGTACGAAGCGCCGTACAGCATTTGAGCCTGAACCGTGCCATATGACCCTCCAGCGACGTATAGTTTGTCAAACTCGCCCGTGGGATACAGCTCGGTCAAGAGGGCACTGATATCCCTGACGAGGGAGGTGTGGTATGCATCGCCTGGCTTCCTCGGGCTTGAGTTGCCCATACCGGGCAGCGTAGGTGATATCCAAAGAGCGCCAAGCTCGCGGAGAGGTGCCGGTACATCAGCAGCTTTGCCGACACTGAACAGGCCTGTGAAGAAGATGACGACGACGCGCGAGGTGGGTGGACCATTTTTTGCATATGCTAATTGGCGCCCGTCTTCCAGTACCAGCACATGCTCCTCATCCCCCTGGATCTGATCATAATGCTTTTGAGTTGCTGCCATTGTTGCAATAACCAGACACGATTATACTGATGCGTTAGTATGGCGGATGATGGCGAAGGCAGTCGAGTGAAATTGTGATGGAGCTGAACAGGAGTGCCTGGGCTTTAGTAAAATGATCAAAATCGGGAAGAGTACCCGTGAATCACAAGAAACAGCGCCAAAGGCCGCTGTCAGGCTGAAGTTTTACCGATACGATTAATACGTGATACACTAATCAATCACGACACTCCTCTTTTGCTTCATCTTTTGCGGGTGAAATTGTGGCGCTGTTCCGCCGTGCTCAGAATAGCATCTGGTAGCCTGATAAATAATTATACTGCCTGATATTGGTGAGACATTAATCAGATGCCCTTTTCCCTCAATCATGATCAGGTCATGACTCGTGGGCTTATATAGCCAGACGACTACATCAGGTGATTTATTTGCGCTATTGAACAGCACTGCAGGGACAAACATCGGGCAAGATTGAGCCGTTTTATTTGGTAATTGGATGCGGCTTTCGATATGAAGACTACCTGTGTTATAAAGCCCACCGAACCTGTGAACTGGCTTAATCAAGGTCAGCAAGTAAATAGTTTTGACTCACTATTATGCAACGATTTGGAAAGAATCAACTCTTGACTCTCGGCCACTAAGAATAACGCAATTCTTAGTTGAGCATTGGGAATTTAAACTACCGGAAACATATATGCGTGGATGAAACCTGATGCCAGAAAAATAGATTGAATCTAGTGTGTGCCATCATTCGGGTTCAATAAGTCAATACGAAGTAAGCCCACGGTTTTGGGCTGCGTAAGCAGGATTAAAAGCTGTGCAGTGATATCCAATATGCTGGAGCAGACATTGATGACGAGACGCTTGCTTTATTAGCTTTATTTTTTTAGTCGGCGGAATACTTCATCTTTTGAAAGTTCAGACACGAATAAGAATAATTCTTCCATCTATTGTAGGTACTGCTTGAATTTCCCCTTGATACACGAATGAAGCTGGCAAGTGTAAGGAACTACCAAGGCGAAGGTAGGAGGGTGTCGATGGTAATGAGACCTCAGAATTTCCATATTTCATGCTCTAGCAATGGTTTTATGATAATAATAGCATGATTGGATTTTGAAGCATTCCCGTGTTTCAAAGCAAGGTCTCAATGACGAGTGGCGAGTCTGACAACCTTTCAAGATTAGAAAGAGAGGATTAGCGTGGCTCCGTAAATTCCGGCAGTCGAAATTAATCCATACCCACATGGTCGAGTCCCTGCCGGCACCGGCATTGTGGTTGGTTGGCTCGGTCTGTTGAGCTCGCATTTCCCTACAAACAACCATGTAGTAACGGGGATCGACATCCAAGCCACCGAGGCTTTGCGAGGAAAAATGTGTAGATTATAAACCAGCCTCGAGCTAGACGTGTTCCAGCGACATGGATTTGCAATGGGAAGAAGCGGCAGTATAATCTCGGACTTGGTCTCGGACTTGTCAGTATCGCACGCCCTGATTGCGTATGGACCAGCATAAGCAGTATGCCAACAAATTTCTGCACGTATAAATCCTTAGCTCACCGTCCTCTTACGTCTTCAACAGATCTTCTTATCAAGGTTATTCTACCACGTTGATATCATGAAGACATCAGCTTTCTTATTCCCATTGTTCGTCTCGTATGCTGCGGGCAAAACGCAACTTACACCAGAGAAACTGGTTTCAGATGTTCAAGAGAACCAGTAAGTGCTAAATATATATCCTAGCGGTCACTATTCACTGACTTATGGACACCTTAGCCTACGAGACATCCTCACCACCTTCGACACTATTGCTAACCAAAATGGAGGTACGCGAGCTTTCGGGCTGCCGGGTTTCAATGCATCCCTAAAATATGTACTTGAATACATGAACAAAAATTCTAGTTCGTGCTTCAAGTACGATACGACTATTCAGCCTTTTACACATCTCTTCTCTCAAACCAAGCACATATCATTACTTGGCCCGCAGGAGGAAGCCGTTGACGTGATCTCTTTGCAATACAATCACCCTACCCCACTTCCAGATGGACTGCATGCTCCCCTAGTGAGTCTCCCCATCGACGATGAGCGAGGAACCGGTTGCTTCGAGGATCAATGGAGCGGCGTCGATGTCAGTGGGAAAATCGCGTTGGTCAAGAGAGGGAAATGCCATTTCGTGCAAGTTCTGAAGCTCGCCAAGGCACATGGAGCCTCCGCCGCCATTATTTTCAACAACGTACCGAATGTGAAGGGTGGTTCAGCATCTCTAGGCGCTGAAAATTACGGCACGCTCGTCCCGCTGGGTGTTATTACGTATGAGCAAGGCATGGCTTGGTATGAGCAATTGCAGACAGGAGAGGCTCTCAATGTCCAACTGACCATCGAGACTCTGACCGAAAATCGCGACACGTGGCAAATACTACTCGAAACGAAGGAAGGCGACCCCGATAATGTCATAATGCTGGGCGCTCACCTTGACTCTGTGCAAGAGGGCGCTGGGATCAACGACAATGCAAGTGGTGTTGCTGCCTTGCTCACCATAGCCAAATCACTTGAGAAGTATCAAATCAGGAATAAGATCCGGTTTGCGTTCTGGGGAGCAGAAGAGAGTGGGATGATTGGCTCAAGCCACTATGTTTCGACCCTAACAGCCGGCGAGCTGGACAAGATTCGATTCTACTTCAACTATGACATGATTGCATCTCCAAGTCCAGCCAGTATTGTCTATGCGACCTCAGAAGGCGATAAGAAGGGCGCTCAGTTTCTCTACGACTTCCTCAAAGAGACTAGTCGCTCTCCCGAGTTTGCGTAAGTACATTACTGGGATGAAATCTACGATTCTCAACTAACCAGTGTCTCTAGAACCTTTGGAAGCTCATCTGACTACGTTGCCTTTGTCGATGCTGGAATTTCCTCTTCCGGCATATTTACAGGTGCTGGTAAGCCATACGACGAGTGTTATCATACATCATGCGATGATTTGGCGAATATCAACTGGGATGCTCTGGTCATAAATACGAAGGCCGCAGCCTATGGCACTGCACAACTTGCTCTCTTGGATCCAGACAGTCTCTCAAAACGCGGGGAGACTAATTTAAATCCAAGGAGCGTATACGGTGCATCCCGGAATCTGGTTCGTTGGGCTGATCCCGCTAGAGATGCGGAAAAGAGACATGATTGTGGTGGAAGCGCTTACTGAATAGATTATACATAGTGAGAAAGTAACCGCCCAAAGGACCACCGCAGAGGGTCCCTGGATCCAAAATATGGACATCGGTTTCTGCCGATCATAGGACTTGCATTGGAATTGATTCATAATCAAGCTTAGTCAGTTGAGGGGTAGCCGAGGCTCGTCTCCTGCTTCACAAGCACGGCAAGCATCGTCATCCACCCTAGATTCTAATATGTTTACCAATCAATTAAGTGTAACAACTTCTCTGAGTTCCGCACCATTTCACGCTGGTGATATACAAACTGATAGATAATCGCCATGCCTTTGTACGAGGTCGCCCATACGGTTTCCTTGACTGATGACCAGAAAGACTCGCTCGCAGCAGCAATCACAGAGGTACACAGCTCGAAGTTTACGGTACCTCGAATGTTCATCAATGTGATATTCACCAATATTTCCGGCGTGCCTACATATGTTGGAGGAAAGCGGGTATGACCACCATTCTCGGATCTGAAGCAACGAAGCCGCATGTATGTGAACTAATCATCCTATGCTCCTAAAGACCACCGCATCAAACCGAATTGTTGCTAGGGTGCGACGTGGATCCCGCTCTCGAGAGGACTTCAACTCGCTCTGCAGTGAAATACGAACGGCATGGGCCCGCGTTGTTCACCCTGCCTACAGTGCTGACCAGCCACCGCCTTCTGAACTGGAGCTGCGGGCTGTATTCATCACCGGCGAGCTGCTTGCCGGAATGAAGTGTGAGTTTCATGTCCCAGCAGCTGGGGCTGAGCTTGAGTGGGCAAAGGAGCACTACACCGAGTTTCAGAGAAGAGCTGCGAATGGAGATGAGGATTTCGTTGGTCTGGTCAAGGAAATAGACCAGTGGCTTCAAATATCGGGGTAGCCTAGCGAGTTGACCACACCGAGAGATAGTGTTTGGATATCAGACTGAAAGATCCTCGAGAAATAAGAGAGAATGAAGGATAGTATGCCAGCTCAACACGTGTTCTTCCCGCCGTGTCAGCCTGAATAAATACTGAAATTAAGCGGTCATGGAGACCGATGACTTTTGAGCGATCAAGTAGCAACAATACCTAGGCCACCAATATCCCGCTCAATGAGCCGCAACGCCTCTCGCGCAAACGGTGCAGCATTGGCCCGAACTCGGAGAGCCCATCTCAAGTCCTCAACCCTTGCTACGCACCAAGCCATCTCCTCAGAGCCATGAGCCGTAGCCCACATCAATGCGGCGAGGGAGCCAGCCTGGGCCACTTGGTAGGAAGCTGCACTGCCCCAGAAGGCTGCCGTTTGCTCAGGCTGTAACGACTTAAGCAAAGATATGGCGTCTTGGACCTTAGCACGGGATGTTGAGCGGAGAGCAGAGTTGAGTTGCTCAGGCGTGTCTGGGGTTATTGCGCGTATGAGGGCACGGTAGAGAGCGATTTCGACTGATAGATGGGCCAGGCGGAGGGCTCCGTTCGCGCAAAGCTCTCTGTCCTTTGTGTATTCCATCTGGAGATGCTGCGGCAAACCGCTGTACCACTCCCGTAGGCGTAATACGAGTGGCTTGGCCAACTCGACGATGGTTATGGTTCCAAGCCGATCAGGGTTGTGACCAGAGCGCGTTACGGCCGCGTTATAAAACGTCCCCATGACTTCGCTAAGGAATTTGGTCAACTCAATGTGTTTCAGGAATTGCGCCCATCCAATTGCCGCGGGAGAAGGATCGGATAGCCCAGTATTGGTCTCATCTTCCAGCTCCGGATAATCAGCATCCGTGCAGGTCTTCACGTCCCAGTCGAGTTCATGTATGAGGAACGGCCGTCCGTGAGCACATGCGCCCCATCGGTCCTGCATGTATAATGCCCAGGCCAGCCGGCGACGCAGTCCTACCTCCCAACTGGGGATATCCCACGAAGTGCAGTCCACGTGAATGCCGAGATCCTGTGCCATGGCAACAAGCTGTGCAGTGAACATGCGACTAGATGAAGGGTGGGTGTGCGAACTGGCCTCGGCACTGGCAGAATTGCGTTGCAACAAAAGCAACCCAGCCTCGAGTGTGCTGAGCTTGGGACGTCGCATATCCTGCGCCATGGTGCGTTCGGCTAATTCCTCCAATGCACTGGGATTTGGTATAGACTCCAATTCACGTCCAGCAAGGGAGCTGTCGTATAACTGCCAGTCTAGTGCCACAAGATAGACTGCTGCGAGTAGAGACGGTGCAAAGTGGCGGTGAGATACGCGGTGCTTGCTGATGAACACATCTTTATGCAGGATTGGGAAGCTTGGATGCACGACACGAAAATAGAGGTCAACAAGGGTTCGGCCGAGAGGATGAATTGCAGCTTCGATTGCATCCAGATCTTGGATACGCTGAGACTCTGATGCTGTCGATCCATCAGTGTGGACGAGGAAAGCAGTTCCATTATCCAGACGGCGCGTGGAGATTGCTGGTTGACGAGCCGTGGGATGTTCATCTGATCCCTGATGAGCACGATGGAGATCAAGGAGGATGGGATCGCGACAGTCTGTAGGACCGATATATTCGGCATGAGTTTCGAGATCCAACCCAAGAGTATTACTTAGAATTCTTGGCCTGGGAGCTGATATGCCAGCACGGGCCTGCCTTGGCTCGGAGGACAGCTGCTGTCTGGTCTCAGTTGGCATGCCATTGTTCTCGAGACTGCCTGCGGGGGACCTTGCATTCGTCTGATGGCTCGAGGCTGGAGATGTCTGGGCGGATCCAATGGTTTCATAGTCCGGTACCGGAGGCGAGCTGTTTGTATCATCCGGGCTTGGCTGGGCGCGCGAGGGGTTTCTCGGCACCGGTTCCTGACCTTGAACTTCGAAAGACGGGTTTCCTCTTCGTTGTCGTCGGGTGGGGCCTCGTAAGTAGGTGCAAGGCTGGTCATGGAACGTGCAGAGGACACACCGGAGCTCGGTCGCCTCCTTGACGCACCGCGTCTTCCGCAGCCGGCATGTGTCACATGGCCGTGACCTCGCAGACGGGACTCTCCTCGTGCCCCCCAGACGGTCACCGTCCTCGCCGCCGGCGATCTGGGGCATCCAATTCTCCTGGCCAGCCCCTGTATAAGGAAGCTCCGCAACTGTGGGCATAGCCGATAACTTTCTGTGGAAAAGAACGAACGAATTCTTGGGGCAAGATAAGCGAACGATATGTGAAAGACAAGTAGCACGCGGCGGTACCGGGGCTGGATGTTTGGATCCAGTCATCTGTATGACCAATGAACGGCCTGGATCAGCCTGATAAGCCTGGGAAAGAATTAGGGAACATTGGGTTTATGCATATATAAGGTATAAGAAAAACTAGTCTCTCATTAACTGAATAACCATCAGAATCATGCAGATACAGGATATAACGAAGAGCTGGATCTCTCTCCACCCAACTGTCTTTCAAATGATGGCTCGTAGATGAGCATTTCCCAAAGTCCGGCTCACTGCCAGCTCTTGGGCATAATAATGTACCTGATGCACGACAATACCCAAAATTGATCACGATTGTCAGTGTCATGAACTGAGAGCTGTCTGACGCTGTCGCGGCACTTGCCGTGTACTTCACACCTAACTGACTTCAGGCCATAAGAACTCGGCCTCAGTTATCACAAATCATAAGTCATTCAGTCGTTCTATTGCTCCATTAATAATCTAATATGTGACGGAAACCTCGGTTGTCCGAACTATGTTCTTCCCATTGGCATCTGGATGCACAATGCTATCAGAACTATTCTCCCTTCGCGTGCCGGTTCCTCCTGGCCCCGATGAGTCCGAGTCGTTCCTCCCCTCGGCAGTAGCAATGTAGAAGGTTTGGTTGTCGTTGACCGATTTCAGTTCGAATGCTTCAGGGCCTCCGGTTTTGCTGGTTTGTCGAATGTATCCCTTCGCCTTGTTGGACAGCCCTGTTCTCTTCCCGCTTCGCAAGTGGCGGCTAGCCGAGTTGGTATAGCCATATCCGGGGGTCAAGCTCTTTAGGTTGAGTATATTTCGAACCAGTGGTTTGAGCGCCGGGGCGCACGCGGCAATGATACCGAGGTTGAGTTGGAGTCTGGATCCAGAGGTTAGACGTCACTGATTTACACCGCCCAACACGAGAATACTTACAAGCCCCAAAATTGAATCTCATAGGTGCTGTGGCGATTTTGTTAGTGATGATAACTGAATAGACTGAAGGTTATAAGTCATACAAGGTAGAATCTTTGTTGGACGTAAAGTTGATCTGCGCAACGGCCTTGAGGATGCCTATCACAACAGCGCTAGAGATGGTCAGCATCACTATTCCGTCCACACAGAGAAAGCGAAGCCTACACATAGCCGAGACTGAGAACCCCGATGAGGTACAAACGAGTCTTTAATGGCATTTTCAAGGTCCAGATGATGGGGACTGGTAAAGTTGCAAAAGCGACATCGGTAAAGATGTTGAATGCTGGTCAATGAAAGGGTCAGTAAAGCCAAGAGGAAGAACGGCATGTTCTCGTGGAGACATACCTGTGTTAGCCAAACCAAACTTAGCGAATAAGCCCAAGGAGTAGCATGTGCCTTCGATTTTGCTATCCCAGTATTTTGGCAGGGGCTTGCAAAACAGAAAGATGGTCAACCAAGCCTCGATCGAGTACAGCGTCACAAACACTACTAACAGTCAGCCACCTCACGTAGACTTTTCGGTTGCAAAGCCAGTGCATTGTACTACCTATCATAGCCCAAAGGAGGTACTCATACCAGGCCCAGGCGTTGCTCCGTAGTTTTCTTAGTTCGAGGGCAATAGCGATTTTGAGGAAGGCGATGCCACCAATGAGAGGCACTATCGTCTGGACGAAGGACAACCTCATGAACTTGACAAGATCCGGCCCTTCGATGGTATCGTAGTGCTTGCCAAGACCTAATGGTGCTTGCAGATACAGGGTCACGGTTCCGCCAAGGAGGGAGGTGAGCTATTCAAGACATCATACCATTAGCGTACATATTCCCCTCGCGCAGGGGAAGTGCACTTACCACGGATGCCACCATGAATCCATCTTGAGGACCGTATGACCTCACGATAAAGAAGCGGGTGTAGGACCGGAGGCAAACAAAGATAAAGGCGACGACGCTAATAACAGTACTGACGATGAGGATTTGCGGCGCTCGGGTCTCTGCGGCCCGCACAGGATCATCATTACCGGAGGAATCCAAGCTCATGTTGGTTGCGTACGACTCGTCACCTAGATGCTCGACATACGAACTGCCTCAAGCATTCCACTGACCAACCAGAGGCGACGAAAGCGGAGTTAATGGTAAAAAATGGCAAAAGAGTGTATTGAAGAGAAAAAAAGAAAGGAACGAGTGGGATAAAGCAATTCACAAACGCCCAGGTGCCGTGCACATGCGGGGAGTCTCACGAGATAAAGCATATAGCCAGCAAAAACGAACGAGAGAAGACCCGTTTCACTTACGGCACTCCCACACCGGAGGAGCTCAGACTCGCTTACGACGACATATCCCACTTGAGAGATTCTTAATAGCAAAGTGAAACTATAGTATCAATGCAGCTGGGAAGGGAAGAAACCCGGTTTCACCTCCGGATCGCCCTACGCGCTATGAATGGGTCGCTGGCTAGACCTCAAATAGAAGGACGCCACGCCGTCAGCATGGAACCCAGGGCTACGGCTGAGGTGACAATCCCTGTAAAGACCCAGCGGCACCCCTGGATAATCGCTAGAAGTCTGCAGAACGACCCAAGAGTGGGTTGGGTATCTAGGGAGGTACAAGAGGTGTTTGAGGTTTGTCGGAGCATGTTGGGCCACGGCCGGTGCCCTGAATTTTCTGCTCTGCGATAATGAATCTCTAAAAACCAAGGAAAACGGCCTGGGAAAAGCATGGAAGATGCAAATCGCGCATCCACGCAGCGCAAGTGGGAGCTCGGTGATTTATCCCGCATTGAGGATGGGGTTTGCCGCCTTATTGATAACCTTCACGGTAGCCATTATTGATTGCACTGCAATAGCACACGGATGCGGATCTTAAGCCTAGAGCTATATCCCTATTACACGATAAGATGTAAAATGATCTGTCGGACGAGCCATTCTGGGGGAGGCGACCTGCGGAGATTAGGACTGGTTCGTGAGCCCGTGATGGAAAGAGATTCGTACGCCTGGCAGGGCTGGAGGAGAAAAATCAGTTCATATCTACCACATTGTCTTTGTCACTACAACATCAGCAGTTAGGGGTGGCTCTCAATTCAAGACTGGGTGTTACGACATGGCCAGCGCAGCCAACCACGAGGCCTGGCTCCCAAAGAATGGCGGCATGCTCGCTTGCATATACTTAGCTTGGAGCCACCCGGTCCCTGTCCAGCCCAGAAGAATCAAGATGGACTCGTGAGACGCTTTGGGCAGGTCAGCAGGTGGCCCACGGGCGGTGCCACCAGGCTTATGCCCGTTGGCATCGCCATGCCACGATAGCCCCTGGACCGTGTATTAGCCCAACCGTTGCGGTGGAGTCCATCAGCGAATCCAAGCAGAGAAGTTCTAGCGGGCGTTTCATCCGATTAGTTCATGGGTCACGCCCAGAAGAGGCATTCCCACCGTTCGCTTCGGACACGAAAGCCCCGAGATCAAGGATGGAAACGAACCATTGTGTTGGTTCTACACAGAACATTCTCATTGCATACATGATTTGGCACCTACCGAGGGAAATGAGAAGCATCGGCAACATCCTATTCAGAGCTCCGGCTACTACAGGGCCGGACAGACTCCGACGACGGTGAGTGAACGAGCAGGTCTTCTCTAGCAAGGCAACGTGCCTCTGTGTACGCAAACAGCGCATCGCCCTGAAGTCCCGCAAGCACATGGGAAGTAATCAATTCGATTTGATTAACAATTGTGCCGAAAAATTGGCCTCCAATATCTTGCATACGCGGAAGATCCAGCGGGGACCGCTTTCATACCCCCTAATATTGAGCACTCGTAACTACACTATCCGCTCTTATCCGCGCCGTGTCTCAAAGATGGGATCTTCTAGCCTATAAGGCGAGTTGGGATGAACAAGAATGACAGTGCATGATCACAAGCGCCAGCACGAGCCATGGCGGGATCTGTTGGGCGGAACAATGCGACGATGCTGTGCAGGGACGCGGGCTCAATCTTTAGGGGAGTTTTTCCTCCGCAATGGATCAACGGCGGTCTCCTAGATATCCGAGCAAAATCACAGGCAATCTTCTTGCATGGATCGCATTAGCCAGGAGGGGCCAAACCGGGGCCAGCGAGCAGGGACCAGGGAAGGCAAATGAACTTCCGTCTTACTGGCCGTGCCACCACCGTCAACGGCAAGTCAGTTGGTTGTTGGTTGAAGGAAAGACGCGTCAATATCGGCTGTTCCCGTTGCAACTCTAGAAGAATATTGCTTGATGGGTCCAGTATGAGCCGCATGAGCTGATGTCACGGTCTTTATGCCAGCCACGCGCAGCAGCGCTGTCGACTGCATTAACGCCGAATCGTATAAGACAGGTGCAGAATCATGTTCGTTCTCTCTAGCTTCGTTCACGAATCACGACAGCTTTTAAGTTCCCACTAAGCATATCCATCATGCAGATCTCACGCACCGCTCTTCTTGGCCTACTAGGTGCCGCCACGTCGGCCCTGGCTTTGGAGACCCCTGACAGCACAGGCACTGAGATCCTGGCCGACTTGCAGACAGAAGCCATCAAGAACCTCAAGAAGCAGGAGACTTGTGGCTCCCGCAAGCACAACTCCACTTGCACGTTGGAGAATGCCACAGTTCGACGCGACTGGTATGGCTCGCTTCTGTCCCTGTACATGAGTTCATCTTACGGAATACTTACACATTGAATCAACAGGCGAGCACTGTCCGCCAGTGAGAAGACGGATTACATCGATGCAGTCCTCTGTCTCATGGACAAGCCTTCCAAGGCTGATCCTTCATTTGCTCCTGGTTCCCGGAGTCGATATGACGACTTCGTTGCAGTTCATATCAACCAAACCCTAACCATCCACGGAACAGTAAGTGAATTTTATCTGATCCATGAAGCTGCCCCCGCCGCTAATCACAGTCTACTATATACAGGGAAATTTCTTGACTTGGCATCGTTATTACGTCTGGGCGTA